ATATATATATATATATATACATATATATATATATCTAGTATATGTTCTGGAAACCTATTTCAGCATGTTCAAACTGAATAAATATGCATCATTCCGTTTTCTTGCAATTCTTTGTCTCGTCCACTTTTACAAGCTTATCGTCATCAATCAGGCCTTGTGGGCATCGATTGCACAAAACGATAACCGGGTGACTAGAATTTACTCAATCCAAGAACAACCTATGCCCGTTAGTGCCACGTTTGCTGATTTGTGAATCACCTGTCATAAAAGTTGCATTCACACACACATCAAGATGTCACTCACGATTCCGATACGCAGCCATCTGAATTTCACACGGATTTTTCAAAGTAGATTCTCTGTTGTTTCTCATAGTTTTCCCAATACTACACCTACCCTTAATGAGTGTGCAGCGTGCTTGAAACCATCTTCATTGAAATCTGAAATAACATAGGTGGTGTGAATATGTGTTGGAAACTGTGATTTTGCAGCTTTATCTGTCGTTCATCTCAGAAAACTAGCGGCTTCTTGACCCCATTCCTAAAGGACCCTCACGTCACCCAAAGACTGATGGACAGACGCCGTAGACGGAGGGTCATTTTGATGGCACGCCAGGTGAACGTTTGCACAACTTATCACACGCAATGATGGGCACGTGTCATAACTCATTTACAACCCCCAATTTGGGGAACAACTCACTGCGGCTGTTGCGATGACGCATATCTTGCATTCGCCGGTCTGATGGAGCATAAAGGACGATAAACACTGGTCATGAATGTTTGAGGAGTGTTGTGCCTCTGAAACAAACAAGAGTCGTTGAGATTGAATGTTCAACGTTTACGTGTTCTGTTAAAAGGCACCTTCGTGACAGGAAAGTGATTACAGATACAGAGGAAACAATGCTTATTTATATCTATCCCATCTGCTTGTTTAGAAAATACACTGGTATGAACAGTGTTTCTTCAAGGTCTTCTGTGTGTTGGTGATCAGGCAGGCGGTATTTACTTTTAGCATGGAAAGCTACCGTAATTTTTACCTCTAAAGATCACTAATATGCACAATCCCAAAAACGCATTGTGCGCCCACTTGAAAAACGGGAAAACAGTAAATAGGCTGGTGGCTTGTCCTTTCATTGCAGGTACGCAAACGCGCTGCTTCGTCAACATCGTCAACGTGAACCAATACAGCAATAAATTGAGGCTTACTGTGGCAGGCCTCGCTGAAGCAGGGTTGAGTCGTGGCAAGCGCACCTGAACAACCCCATGGCTGAGACCCTGGACAACACTAGTCCCTATTCCCCACTGTGCGGGTTGGACAGAGGACAAGACGTAGGTAACACGGCTGATGCCCGGGTGAAAGCCTCGAAACAAACCAACGCAGTAACAGCCGCAGGTCACACCTCACGGGGCACTGGAAATAGGGGCTACTGCCCTGGCATCGCCCCAAAATGCACCATTTTTCTGGTACTGAGTTACCAAGCGCGAATACTGATGCTCTATTGTAGTGCGGTATGGGGAATGAAGTGGCAATGAAGCTGCCGACAAGCTCAATACAACTACCAATGAGGTGATGGAAAAGAGCATCGTCGGTGAGTGTGGTGTAAAACATATCTCTGTGGCTTGATAGCCAAGTCAACGCGACGCAAATGTTGGGCCTTCAGACCACAATGCCTTTGAATTTGATGCTCTCTTATTATCATGTGCACTGTATGCCTCGTGGTATGCGCCTCCAAGATACTCCTCATATTTTGCATTGGGAATTTCAATCCAATTCCCAGAGGAATTCACACGTAGAAAGTCGTTGAAGAAAGTGCGTGTCCTGTCTGCTTTTTTGTTGCATCTACGCCACTACTTCGCATTTCGAAACAAGCCTCCGGGAGCCTTAGTTCCTTATGGGCCGTGCGCCAGACGACGTGGAATCTCATTTGCATCGTAGCTGCACTTCCAGTTCAGTTGTCGGCCCAATCTCAGAAGAATCAAATAAGTGAGCAGCAGACACTGGTGTAAGAACTCTTATTTTCATTGTCGCATACGTTATGAGCTACGGCTGTCACTGGACCAAGCGTTTTGAATCATTCACTGACGCATTCATGGCGCTCAATATTCGCACCATGGAATTGAATTTTTGAAAGATATTAGGTGTTCCTGATTGACTAAAACAGGCAGGCATTTGTGTTCAGAATATCAGTCCAAACGTTTGAGCCTTATCTGGGCATCCCGGGATCCCAGTTATGCTTGGGAAGTATTCCATCAGAATTTTTTCTCCAGAGGTAGGATTGCTTCAGTAGACAATGAAATTTGGTGAAATGGTGAAATGGTTTTTGGTTCGAGCATATACGCAACAAAATTCAACTCGCAAAGGTTTTGCAACGAGGATCGTTTTGCGGCTAAGGAGTCCTCGCATTTATCATGCTTCTTGTGTCTTATTCTCCTTGCAACTAGCACAGTGGAGGATAATGCTGACCGCTTTCAGAGTGTGAAGTTGTCATGCTGAATTCAGGTTTCAGCAAGACTTACCACGGTGGACTTGGTGCAGTAATTTGAACTCGGTCCTGGACTCGTGAGAACGGTGGGGGACAACACTGCGTCACTATGCCTACAATAAAAAAGGCGTAGTATCAGGTCAAGTGTTAATGCCTCGGTCATTCGGATGTGTGCACAGACCAGCTTCGTGCTGAGCGTGTCAGAGTTTTCTTCAGAGAAGCTCCAAATTTTCTTACTCACCGTAAATGGTAGGAGAGGTGGGCACAAGTGATCTCACCCATTTCAATTATAATCAACCTAATAAAAAAGTCGATGGGTTGTATGACCTTAAATTTACTGGTTCCTTTTATAAAGAACACACCAAAGCCTTCCGTAGCACATGTAGCTCAAACAGAAAAGTTAAGCTCCAGGTACATTTCCATACTTTTGAAGTTTGCTATAAGCTAGTATTGCATTTCGGTTGTCTGCCTAGGCTTATTCTATTGTTCAGGTTAAAAAAGCCAAACGAAGTTCCCTCTCCCTTCCCTGAAAAACACGCCTTCGAAACAAACATACTCCTTAAAGGGTTGTTGTGAGCTCTTAAGTGGCTGCCCAAATCCAAGGACTGTGAAGAATACTCTAAAATGGAAGAGGTATGTGGAATACATCCATCTACATAAAAACGACACTACTCTAGTTCTCCATCTTGCTACTTCGAATCCGTTAGTATAGCATTAACTAGCATTACTCTCTCCTCAGCAAATGGTAAACGAATGTGTAGACGCGTATTCTTGTGGAAACCTATTGAGAAATATTGTCGTTAAGGCAAGATTTAAATTTATCTAGATTGTCGGATTCTTAGTATTTTGATTTAACAAAACACAATGCGAAGTTCCAGTTAGGGTGGTACAGCGAAAACCCAAGTATGTGCACTGCGTGAAACTCTCTGCAAATTAAGAAAATGCTAATAATTTGGTAGATACCAGATTGTGCTTGAGGATCAATGGCTATTCAGACGAAATTATCTGATTGTTCAACACGTTCCACGACCGATCAAACCAAATTAATTAACAATTGAGTGTATCCGCTAATTTCGTTCAGTTTGGTTTCAAGTAGAACATAAGGTTGACGGAAATTCGGGGACTGTGCCTACCTGAAGAGTACCAAGAAAGGCAAAATCGGTCGTGGACTGTCGAAGAATTTTCAGCAGCCTTATGAATATTACATTACAGAGTCAATAATATTTTGTAGGAAATATAAGGCGAAGAGTTGCAGTGTTCGCCTGAAACGGTACTCCTCCCTGACCAAAACTATGGTGATAGAATTAAACCTCAATTCGAACATGTCCACACCTTTTCTGACATGGTTGTCGAATGCGAACGCTGGATCATATTTAAGGCAGCGGTAACACATATGAGAAAAAACAGCAACCTAGCACACTCCAATGCCTGGATTTAAATGAAGCCTTTGTGTCGCACATCCAGTTTAAGGACATCAAAGGGACAGGCTCCTTAGATAAGTTAAGTTGCGTCACTCTATGTATCAAGTGCGCGATTTATTGTGACCAACCTATCCGTTGCCACGGTGTATGAGCATTCCCAATGAAGACCAAAGCATTTCATATAGTGGATAGCCATTCAGCTGTAATACCCTTTCGGTACCTGGCTGCCATGCCACCCGAAAGAACCACAAGGGCTGGGATACTGCCAGTTTGCCAAGCCTATTCAGGAGAAGTCGAGAGGGAGATGTCGGGTTCAAACCGCAGACCTTTCGCTCAGTAAACTCGCACTCTGACCACTGAGCTATCCTGCCTCATATATACATATATATATATATATATATATATATCACAGTGATAAAGGAATTTGGTTGGTCGAAGCCCCGCTTTATTGTTGACTTAGCGGCTCTACGTCTTTAATCCCACCATTTTAGCTTTTTACAAGGTAAACATGACATTCTCGAAGATAAAAGTTTCGTCAGGCAGTCGTTAAATCAGGTATATCAAGCGCCTCATCAAGACTAAGTTCAGAGTTCTCATATTCCAAAGCGGAATAGATGGACAAACAGGCAAATCAGACGTTAAAGTGAGAGGAAAAAAACGGGAATAAATTAAACCTCTGCCATTAGCATCTGGTGCCTCAAGTTTTTGCTGCGGAATTATCTGAATTTCCAAGTGGATCCGACAGCAACCGGGATCCAGTAGACATTTGGTTGAATCTGCTTTGTTCCACTGAGTGTCAGTAGGCTATCTGTGAGCCATTCGTCTAATAGCGCCCACCCAGAGTTATTCTGAGCAAATCTTTTTAAGCGGATCGCCGTCGCGGGAGTCCGACAAAGATTCAGTATCTCTGTGAATAGGTCTATCCATCAGTCATCCAACGACCAGTGTAATACTGCCAATGTAATAATTCATTTGCAGGTGACAAGGTGCAGCACAGTGACTTTCGTCAAATTTTCTGCTCCCACTTGCTGGACGGGAAAACTGTTGATCTCTCGGACCAATATTTTTTGCATTAACCTGCCGAATGCAATGTCAATGTCATCGTTACAAGACGAAGAAATCCTTGTTGCTAAAGCGGTGTCATTGTCACAAAGGTGTTATTTCCAAGTTGTAAGGAGTAAAAGATAGCCTGAAAAGTAACTATTTAAAAAGAAGTTACTCCAAAATAGGCTATGCTATTTAACGGTCACGGTTCAGTGTGTGTTACCCCCAACAGACTGGTTGCACTCTAAACAAATATAATATTCATATCCGTCGCCGTATTCTTTATTGAGAACCGCCGCGAGTGTATCATCACAAACAGAGTACCAGAACATGAAGACTAGATTATACCTGAAACAAACGGTTCCAATGGATGCAGAGTTTCCGGTGGATCAAATGACGTTGAGTCCAGAAAAAAATTTAAATTTCAAACGCATGAGCCACTAGTATCTGCTGGCAACCAAGACTCCCTTAGTGAAAATGGACGAAGAAACCGAAAAAGTGCAGTGACTTTGAAAGCGAGGCTGGCTGAACAGATGTTAATTTGCTGAAGGTAGTTCCAGTCAGCCACGACCCAATATGAGATCTATTCAAAAGAGCACTCAATGTTTGCTGAATATTATTTCGCAAGCAACATCAGCGTCCTCTCAGATGACCTGAACGTAGTTTCCCGCTAAAATTGTGTGATCTAAACAGAAAGCCAAATTTGAAAGATCCACACTTCTTGGCTGTGTTTTGCCTAATACAACCTCCGTGTTAACCCTATTTTCCCACTGATTTGAAAATCTGCCACTCGGCATAAGCCGGCAATCTTGTAGATATATTGGGCATGTCATCTAATCATGATGAGTTGACGTATTGCGTGTTTCCTAATAAATCCAAACACTTGAATGATTCAGTGAGCGCGCGGTAGACAGATTGAGCAGAATGACGAAATTCAACCAAATTACCTTTGTCAATGTGCAACAAATTCACTGAAAATTCCAAAGGGAAAGCTATCAACAAAGTTGATTTTTGGCCAAATTCTGCTTCTAAACTCTGTCGTTCGGAAGTAAGCAATCTTTTCACTGAAAATAACTTTGGAATATTTATTATGAGTCTTGCTGGTCCACAACAATAACCCTGAATAATTCTGGACCCTGAGGGTCCTAATCCATAGCAGAAATGTAAAAATATACCCTGTTTCTTAGACAATCTTGTTACGTTGCACGTTGTAAGTATACAATACGTGAATAAGTGAATGTTTATGTTGCGTGGAAGGCTGCCAGTTCTTAACATGCCGCCTTTTGCCAAACGGATCAGAACGTACAGGGTTTATTCTATTAACTGACGACTCCGAGCTCAGACCATCGCTCAATGGGGGTCATATCGCTGGGTAATCTCAGATGGTTTCACCAGAAGCGAACAACTGTGCCGGAACAAAAACTACTAATGAAACAGTGTTCACAGGGCACCAGAAGTCTAATAAAACAAGGAAATACCGCCGGGGGTTCGGTTTCTGTACTGTGTGTATAAAGTTCTTGCATCAGAGTTATTTCGCGGAAACGAAGACGTCCAACGAGACACATTCTTCAGCCCCTGAAAGATTTTTATCGATTGACAGTCAGGATTTTGACCCCTGACCTGTGATTTACATTTTTTTCAGATTGCGTTTTGAAACCTGTTGGCCGCTTTCTGATAGCCGCCGAGGACCATGATTTATGCAATATGGAAAGAAGGTTGCGCGCCTGCATCCGTAGATGCGTGGTCAGAATTCAAAAACAGGATATCACAACCAAACATGAAGCTGTAGAAAAGTGTCGCTGTTATTACGTAATGCACCACTCATAGGGTTGCTGAAAATTCTTCGACAGTCCACGTATATACATGTACCATGATATCTCGAATATCGTACTAACTGAAGCATGAGGCGACCTGGTGCAGCACATCCAGTTACCTGGAAACTGCAAAACCGAGAGATTCAGCTGGGCTCCAGGTGAATCTCTCGCAAAACCAAATTAGTTTACAAATAAGTGTATATTCGCCAATTTCGCGCAATTTGGTTTCAAGTAGAACATAGGGTTGACGGGAAACTCGGGGGCTGTGCCTACCTAACTAGCCCCAAGAAGGGCGAAACTGGTCGTAGACACTCGAGGAGTTTTCAGCAACTTTGTGAATAGTGCAGTATGAAGCTAGAGAGAGTTTGTTACACTGCCACGGGATGGTGCACATAGTGAAAATCCAAAAGACTTTAAAATGCCTGTATATCCAAAGCCTAAGAAGTGTGTAGTCGATCACCAGGAACTTCTTTGATCAGTGACACAGAAGGTAGAGTAGTCAGATGGGTGGGTGATGTCATTGTTGTACGGATGCAATACCTGTGCAGGCGTTCACCTGACTCACATTTTTTCCTTCCGATACAGCAGGAAAATGAGCGGCATTGGGTGAAATTATGTAGATCCAAAACTGATTTCTAGACTGCGACGAAGTTAAGCTGAAAATCAAACTAGTTTTGTCGCTAACATTCTTCGCGGACATTGAAAGGAGTAGCATATCGAGAACAAATATCTTAAATAACCGTGAGAGGACCACTGAACAGCAAAATTGATTGACAACTACCACCATCCTCTCAATTTGCAAATAATTTTAGTTATCTCTTCCCACGGATTTACAACCAAGATGTCAGTTTTATACAACCATAAATGACTAAAACATGAAAAACTGGCATAGGACGACTTCGTTTTCTCTTAGAAAACAAGGACAGTTAAACTTTCTTCACAGGGCGAGGACGTTTCTAACTGATTAACGGCTTTCGAGTCAGATGGAAACAAATGTGTAAACCAACCAATCTGTCCACTGCTTGGTCATCCATTGAGTTCGTCACTAATTGACTGGATTAACTTTGTCTGCACTGGCAGACCAGATAGCCGCACACTTTAAAATATGATACTCCACCCACGAGTTAGACACCAGTGGGAAGCCATTTTACGATATGCTCACACCTGGAAGATCGACATCTTGACTTGAGCGGCGATACTGCTCTCTCCCCCACTGAGTGTTCACACCTTCAGACCCACCCATGCCTCACACACCTGGTCCACGTGCCAACCAGTCCCTTGAGCATGCTCATTCATTTCATCACCAACGCAGGCAGCTGCTTCAGGTAACCACTCACGTCAGATTCAGTGACCAAACTAGGCCGATAATGCAGATTGTTTGTGTTGCAATTTCTGTTTGTCCCGTCTGGGAACAAGTTCAAACCGGGGTATGAATTTAACTTTACCGCAAGCGGGGTTCTCTAAATGTCCCAAAGTGCGGACTGAACTGGCATTTCGATATCATTCCAAGGGCTAACACCAGATTTACAGCATCAGTACCAATACACGTAATCCATAATTTTAACCATAAGTTTAGCCATTTGACGGAGCACCATAAACGCAGTGTTACTGGTGCCCGTTTTCCTGTTCAGGCAAGGAAATCCCGTCGCATGTTGCTTATAATAAAAGCATGGTCTACATTAGTAAAAATGGCTTTGTGTCACAGAGATATCACCTATTAATATTCACCTAGGTGTTCATTGGCTACATAGAACCGAGACGACAGGACGCTGCTAAGGCCGGTGTCTCCATTTTTCTCTATTGTTATTTTTTCTAGCCTCTTATTATCTGTCCGAGAAACACGCGTCTAAACGAAGATCCAATAGTGATAGCTACCGCTGGTGCAGTGGCATCCACAATGCTGAGGAGGTACACAGTCGCCAGTTATCTTGAAGATTTACGCTGTGCGCTCGGAGGATTGGTCCAAACCCCTCCAACCTATTGTTTTATCCTTTCACCATTCCATCGCAAGTGCTTTATTCGTAGTTCAACTTTCTCATTTTTGCAAGTCGGGAAAGCTTCCGCTCATTAATGTTCAACTTCACCCTGCAAAGCCTGCTCAGAAGCATTACTTTCTTGTGCATGGTGGTTTCAAACAGTGCCACAAGAACATGGTTCTGTTGTGCTTGGACTTAGCCCTTAGAAGTCTCCATAATATTCATACTATTTTATTTAGGCCGTATGCGTCCATCCATAGCTGTTTACATCCGTAGTCTTTTAGCCAATCCGACCTTGACATTTGGAAGTACAGCGATAAGCTTATCTGCTCATTTGGACAGGTTATTGTGTTAATTGGTCACTTTCTTGCGCACAATAATCTTAGCTACAAGAAAACACGGCAATCTGGCGGTATTCATCGTGGAGACTCAAATAAGGGAAGTCATGATCGTCAGGCTGAGTTGCCGGTTTTTTAGGTCGAAAGTTGTTGTCGCTTGTACTATTTGTACAGTAAATAAGTTTATTCGTTTTATCAGACAGGCTCAAAAGAATCCCGGTCCCAGAATATTTTCTCTTTTTTTCCCGCTAACTGAAATTCACGCAGCATCTCATTCTTCATCAAGAAATAGAGCGATAGATGGATTGCAATAAAAGTTGAAAGATCAAACTGCCTCCATGATGAATTCCAAAACAAAACGGGAGCATCGAAAATATAAACCAGCCTAGAGCACTCGACTTTTCGTTAGAAAGATTTGTGGGTAACAAGCCGTTCTTCCAAGAGGCATGAAGATTTTCTAAGTCTCGATAGTCAGCCAGCAAAGGCGAAAAATTGTGAAACCGCATACTGTCCAAATCCCGCATTTCCCCTGTCAATTATAGCAGTGCAAATTCCAACCTCGAATGTCGTTTGATTAAATCTTGTTCAACGCCCTAGAGCCCTTCATGTGGAATGTGTTAACCGGGTATTTTGAGACAGGTCTGATAAGTAGTGATGCCTGTGCACGCTCAAACCGTCCCGCATTTTACCTCATCGGCATCCATCGGCACGCTTGTGCAGACTTAACAGGTTGATTGTTGCTCTGTGTGAGAATGGGCACACCCCTGTGTTCAGAATCACTCTCCCCAGCCCTGGGCATGCATACAGACATCATAGAATAGATTGAATGGTAAAACTGCTTGCATTATTTTTTTCGACAGGGTCCTCAAAAATTCTCAAACCCGTATCTACCCAGGCGGTACGCAGACACAAGCTCAATAAAATTGGAAAAGTGAAGTGCTGTTGCAGACAGTGGTCCGATGCTTTGCTACGGAATAAGAGAGCACGAGCAGGAGACAAGCGACTCAGACAATTCTGTACGCCGGCATGCGGGTGAGATGTGGGAAGCGCGCTTTAGGAAAAAAGCGGGCGATACAGAGGCAGTTGGAGAAAGTGTAAACGTTCACTATGCAAATCAACCAGCTTCCAATGCAAAATAACATGTTTGGGTTTAGGTTGGGTGAGAATATTTTCTTCGGGTAGAAATGCGGGCGAACCGGACCACTGAAACTATCAGTCAAACTGAGGTTAGAATGTGCATGACCTGAGGAGGTCGATAGAGAGTACCTACTACTAAATGATATATGTAAGGCGTTTTCCAAAGTAGTGGCTCAAGTGTTTAGAAATGAAAGCACGAAAAATTACTGTACAGCATTAGGTAACCTCCAGTAGAATTTCTGCAATGTGGCTCAACTGTGCGTTCGTTACAAACACCTGAGATTAGGTCTAAATTGCTGTAAAGTTTGAAGCAAGTAACAAGTAAGATTTTTACCAGAGAAACCCTTTTCCGGGGTGTTAATTTTGGTCTGCTGCGTTCAGTTTAAAATAACCCTATTGCACTCATGGGGATGAAAGATAACAGTTAGTTAAGATAGACCGCAGTTTCGCGGCTGATACGTCCGCTGTCTTCGAACGTGGGTATTGCTAAATGTAAATGAGTTCCCGTACAACCAGGCCGTCCAACTAATTGATAGTGATCGGGTTAAGGACGCTATCTGCCACACAGCCTTGGAATCACTGCTAGTTTAGTGCCGCATAAACTTTTTATTAGCTCGCACCTCTCCAGGCCAACCACTCACATCGTTGACTATTCTGATGGGAAGACTGGTGACACAGTAGTGAGTATTAGCAAAATTTCATTCAAGCGAGGATCACTGTACGGAGGCTTTATTCTAATTGGGAATTATCAATAGTTCATCCTTCGCGAATACCCAGGGAAGTTTTAACTCACAATCTTCCGGCTATTAGTTGGAGGCTACATCTTCTGGACATAGGGGGCCGTTTGAACGTGTGATCAACTCGCAGTTAACGATCCGTCAGTTCACATCACATGGTCACGAATACACCGGCTTATTGAAGTTGACAGCTAATGCATCGACTTGATCAGGGTCAGGAGGATGTAGCGTGTTTCTTTCTTGCTTGCTGCAGGATTTATCGAATTCGGAGGATTCACGCTGAATCAGATTCCAATGAGAATCACCTGGGTTCCTCGGTCAGAAATGTAACCTTGTAAACGGATGTTTATCTCCAAAAAAGTCCCATTTTGTGTTCAAATACGAAGAAAGATTAACGTAACTTTGAAGCTCAGACCAATTCGACGAGTTCTAAAAGGGACGAAATCGGTGTTAGACTATCCAGGAGTTTTCATCAGCGTCAAATAAAGAGTGCTTTGTTTTACCCTTCTGATCATCGACCCACTTGTCAGGCACCCATCTGTGCAGTATAAGGATATAAACAATTAAGTAAACAGAAATTTCAACAGAATTTGTGTTATCATGGTTGAATAGGTTGCTAGAAGATTGAGAAACGGTTCTGAAAACGTTTCGGGATCATTTAAATTTCATTCTGGATGTCTTCCGGTCTGCTTTTTCTGCTACGTTCAAAACATCATGGCATTTCAAGAACTGATACGATTTTGTGATAGGAAATCTTTGCTCCATATGTTCATCAGTATACACGTCTAATAGCATGGGACAAACAGATTGTGTCCTAAACTGTCATTTATATCAGGTGGAACAAAAGGTCACTGGACAAGATCGCCCGGGGCGTTCCTGGTTGTAGAGTCATTCCTTTCACGGCGTTTCTTTGAGTTTTCCGGTACTCAATGAAGGATGTAAATATTATCCAGTCTGAGAGAGAACCCTCAGTCTGCTAATGCGTGAGCAGGCAATGTTCTATATTGTTGTCGGTTTTCACTCGTCGGTTCGTCTCGCCTAGGGAGACAGACTAAGAGACCTACAGCTGCTCTAGTTTAGGCACCCTTCAGCTTCCTGGTTAATTTCTGGAGGTCATCCCAATAAATAAGAAGGTAGGCAACATAAAGTTGACCGGATTTCATGCAAATTGTCTTCTATTTCATGTAAAGTCCTTGAGAACAGAAACCGAAAGAAAGGACCCGATGCCATGAAAATCCTGTGTCCCTACCCTTTTTCCTTGAAATAGAAGTTTTTTTAACAATTCCTTGGAAAATCGGACTAAGTTACAAACTTGAATATTCCCTTCCTAACTGATGAAGTTGGAAAAACAAACTGCTTCACCGAGTTTATTCAGGTATCATAGGTAAGTGCACAAGTCGTGAACTGCCGTAAAGATTGTACCTCAAAGACTGCACCGATTTTTCGCGGCTTTTCTCTACTCACAGTTTCGTATTATTTCCTCTCGGTCACCCAATAAAATCGAAACCCTGTACATGAGGATCCGAGGAGAACAAAGATAGTCTCCAGACGATTCTCTTAGGAGAGAGTCGTTTCTCTAGCTTTCCGCAACGCATTTTGCCCAAAGAAGTAATAATCTTGGGCTTTGAAAAGTGTCATTAGATATTTATCCCAGTTATTTATGACCAACATGTCTTGTTGCCAACATGTTTGAAGTTTATGTGGTGGTCCCATGGTTATAGTGATGCTGACCCGCAAAGACAGATGCTGCAAGTGCTTCCTGGTATGTCACGCAATAAAATGAAAAACAGTTCGGCTAAAGAGTAGGCTCGATCGATTGTGATCAGCTCTGGACGGAACTGACAAACGCTAAGAAGTCAGCGGCGAATGCAGCCAATCAGGAAAACATGAATTTTCACAAAACATGATCCCCTTTTGTTTAAGGTTTTACTGGGACACTTCTGGTGAGAGAAAAACGTTCTATTGACAGAGTATTTCTGAAGAAAGAATGTTGGTTTGTTGTAAGTGGTATAAAACCACGATTCATAACTGGCAGACGAACTGGTAGCGGTTTTGCACTTTCTAATTCTCGTCAGGAGGGCGTATTAGCCAAAAGATGAGATATCCAATTTCTGAATAAGGCAGCACTTTGATTGCATATTTATTCTAATCTAACGTGTATGATAAAACTGTCTGAAATAGTGACTGGATGGATTCTCATATGGTCAACAGCACACTGGTATTCTTCCGCATAAGCTACCCCAAGATTCCGTTGCAAGGATAATCAGCAAAGTTTTTTCCTTTTGATACTAGTAGTTTGAGATGAGTGCTCAACATCGCGAAGACGGCCCACCACCGGTTTCGTGACACTTGTGTTCATCACGCTGATGTAGTCCTATGCTGTGAATATCTAACAAAAATTCTATGGAATATAGTCGCAACGAGATTTCATTCTGGAACGAATATCACTAAGCTAATAACCAAAAAGGACTTCAATGATTCTTCAGTTCAAGCAATTTTATCATGAATGGGAGTTTAACTAAGGAGTTTACCCTAGCTTATCTACTAGGGTAAGACAGCATGACAGAGGTGAGTTACTGACTAGGTTATATAAGAAAGATGAGAGAAAAAAGAGTTATTGCATGTTTTTTTTCGTTTGAGAGACTAATTAAATTACTCATTTTTGAAGTGAATCAACATTTTTTGACAAGATGTAGTGAGTGCTCATCGTCCATGACGAAAGGCAGCTTTCTTGTCATGAAAAGCACAAAAAGGAAGTGTTTTCAAGAGGACAGAATACCAACTAGACGGGACATTTTTTAGAATAGAATTCGAACAATTCGTTTCTGCTCAGTGAGAATAATGTAATAATGTAGTGCAATGATGGGACACGACATTCTTAAGTTGGAATGCCTGGTAGCGTTGCAGTGAGATATTCACCAGCGTGAAACATTCACGCCTTTAACAAACGACCTGTCGGACTTAATATCAGTCTGTACGTCAAAGTTACAGGAATATTCAGCATGGAGACTCCGATTTATAGTGTACTTGTCCGTTAGAAAGGAGGGCTCACTGGTGGTCGGTTGGACTGTTTAAATGTGTCGGTAACATCGAAGGAAGCTGAAAAACAGTGGTAGTATAGTAGTAGAATATAGTTAGAGCTGTCATTTAAACTCTCTATCGATGAGTCTTGATCGATTCATTTAAGGGTATCGTATCAAATTAAGCCCTTCGAAATCGTTGGTATTGCACTTAAGTGACACTTGCACAGCAAATCTGACTAGACTGCCATAAAGGATATGTGCGAGTTCCCTCTAACACCGCTTCTTGCTGAAAAAGGAGCTTAAATACCCACTTCCAAAGTGCACTGTACACTGGCAGTTGGCGTTGGATAGGCCAATCTGTTTGGCTTCAATACGGAAATTCCACGGCAGTAGCAGCCTAGAGAGATGATTATTCTACCGTCAGATGAGTGAAGCAACTCGAATACATCTAACCCAAAGAATATCACCGAAATCCAAAACTGATGACTTACGAATTGTACTGCATTTTTAGAGTGAAAGTAAATAAATTCATCCTAACAAGGTCAAAAACACGTGCCCAATTTTGTAACTACGCCTTCAAATCATTGTAACATCATACTTTCTAGGATTTTGTCTTCCTGATGGACTATGGCATACCAAGGTTCTAACAACTAGTTTCACTATTCATGTACCAATGGCCCCTTCCGAATCGAAGATGGACATTATGCAGCAAATGAGTACTACAAGACGGAAAGCATAGTGGAAACAGCGAAACTCAAAGTACAGATGACCAAAGGACAGCTATAACTAAAACCGGTTCACAGGGAGCACATTGCAATGTCATTTCCAGGAAATGATCAGACATCTGCCACTGCACAAATTTTCTTGCTCAAACAGCTAAGACAGCGTTTTGTCTAGCTTGCTCACAAATAGCTTCTCACCCATGTAACCGAGTCATTCATCCTGACCGGCACACATCTATACTGGATATAGCTGGCTACAATGCACTTCCATTTGGGAGAAAAATAACTGTGTACAACGTTGACTACTGGTACCCAATACACAATGATTTGCACTTCTCAACTTTAAAGTTGAATTCCTAACTTTCTGGTTTATAGTGTGTTAATAATTGAAAATTTCCACAGCAGTTGGGAATCTAGTATGATCCTTTTAATTTCGGACTTTCCGGGGCCAATTTCATTAAAAAATCTGCAAGGGATAAGCTTCATTTTAACTAAACGATGATAATTCATACCTATTATGTCGTGAATCTTAGCTATTAAGGGCTCCTTAAAGTCTTCACTAGAGTTTGATTTTACATGTTGTCCACGAGACTTTAATTTTACTAAATAATTATTCTTGAGATGAAAGTTATGGAAATTAAACTCTGTACTGAACCTCATGAAGAACTTGATAGAAAGAAAAATAGACCAAAGAGACATTTTCCATGATAAATTCATTTGTTTATAAATGCCTTATTGTGTATGATTTCGTGCTATGATACGAAAAGTGTAACACCAAAGCAGACAGGGAATGTCCATTGTTCTCCTAACTTATACAAGTTAGAGAAACTTGATTAAAAGCCTACGCATTTTTCATCGTCGCCATCGTCATCGATAGCATGACATCAGCCTTCAGCACTGACGTACAACCATCACTTATTTGGAAACCTTATTGTGGAGAAAAGAATGAAAGTGTAGGAGAAGGACTTAGTGCCAGCTTACTACAACCATTCTGAGGTGTCTACATCTCCATGCACCCAGTCAGCCAATCTGGATAGAACCTGATCACAACAACGCCAGTGATATCGATTAGTAGCCATAGGTTGCAGCGCCTTTCACCAGGCACAGTGGAGATCGAGCGGTCCCCATTCGGGAAGGGGTGTCTCGACAACACCACACAGACTTTTCGTAATCTTTTTCATACCCTTCTATCATGTCA